GAGAGGCCTCCAGGTCACCATCAGTGGATGTGTGCTTGAGGGGGCTTCTCCAGCCTCAGGGATGGAGGCTGATGTTTCATCTCTACCTTTCTGCCTGGGTTCCGCTGAGCCAAGCTGAGTACATTGACAGCCTGGGTGTATCCTATAGCCAAGGAACTAAGCCTGTCTTGGTGTAAAACAGAGTTGACTCTTTTGATATCATCAACGGTGGCGGTGGCGGCGGCAGCAGCAGCAGCAAAATCCTGGCTGTTGGCCCACTGATTTAGCCATTTGTCTCAGCAACGAATCCAACTGAAAATATATCTTCAGAAAAAGAAGGATCAATGAGTTTAAATAGAGGACTGTTTGCTAACCGGATTAGGAAAACCCCCTTTGTGCTAAAATGTTCTAAGTAAATCCTCTTAGTACAATTTTGCAGGAGCCAAAAGTGCGAGAGGATCACTTACTTGCTGTCATCTTCTGAGGGCAGGGCTCTAGCTGGGATAAAATAAGAGAAGGAATTTATTAGCTCCTTAGTTGGCTAGAGTCTGTGCAGATGTGGCTGGGTTCGGAGGCTGACCAAGAGACTCCTTGGTTTTCGGTTGTTAACCAGCTCTTTTGAAGTATGTGGGAAAGAGCTTGGGTGAGAGAGGACAGCCACTACTTACACAAAACCATCATCCCTACCAGGCAGCCTGCTCCCTGTGAAGATGGAAGACACAGGGGCTGTAGCACCCTGGCAGCGTATTAAGTTACTTTGCTTGCCCAGGGTCTTATGGATAGAGAGAAAACTCTCAGTTTCCAAAAATGATGAGAAACCTGATATTTTGGATAACAGAGGAAAGAGTCTTGGAGTTCTGAAATCTGTCCTTTCACACACGAAGCTTCATGCCTCTGAGCCTTTGCACATGCTGTTCCCTCTGCAAGGAATGCCCTTCCAATCCCAGAATGCTGGTGGACTCCGTTCAACACTCCAGCTTGAGTGTCCTCTCTTCTGTGCTGCCCTTCCCCGTGCTGCCCACCCAAACGGGCAGTTCATTCCCCTGTTCTCAGGTCACCACTGAACTTGTTTATTCCCTGCTCTGGGCAGGGCTTTTTCAGTCGTAGGTGACAACTGAAACTCAACTCAGATACGTGTTAGCAAAAGGCTTTTGTAACTGCAAAGAGCAGGGTAGAGGCTCAAAGGTGTCATTCTCTCTCACGCACTCTCTCTCTTTCCTCTTCCTTTTCCCCTTCCCCTCCTTCTTCCTCCTCCACCACCTTCTCCTTCTTCGGGAATGTAAGCCCCAGGAGGACAGGAATGTATATTTGATTCTTCTTCTTCTTCTTCTTTTTTTTTTTTTTCAGTACGCGGGCCTCTCACTGTTGTGGCCTCTCCCGTTATGGAGCACAGGCTCCGGACGCGCAGGCTCAGCGGCCATGGCTCACGGGCCCAGCAGCTCCGCAGCATGTGGGATCTTCCCGGACCGGGGCATGAACCCGTGTCCCCTGCATCGGCAGATGGCCTCTCAACCACTGCGCCACCAGGGAAGCCCTTGATTCTTCTTGTATCCCCCAGCTTAGGGCAGAGCCTGGGACGTAGTTACATTTGAGCCTGGCTCAAACATCAATTTTGTGTTAATTAGAAAAAGATGCCCCTTTCTCAATATAATTTACTGCCTTTTGCTGGAAGTTTTAAATAAACACTATACAAACCTACCCTGGCTATGACTTGTATACCCCATACAGCCTCCCCTCCATCTCCCACATAGTAGGTCCTTAATAAATGCTTGCTGGATGAATGAATGGATGAAATTCAGGGAGTCAGAACTATCTGAAAAACCAATGCAGAACTGTGTGGTGAGCTTGTGTGTACCTTTGCTGATTGAATTGTCCATTAGTGTCAGAGTGTTGGGCACAGAGCCCCCCCTTTTATTATTCCTCCACCAACGAAGATTTGTCAAGCACCCACTCATTGTGTTGGTTTGGGGAATTCAGACACAAATAAGATGCAGTTTGTTGATTTAAGAAGTTCAGAGGCTAGAGGGTCAGATAGCCATGTAAATGAATGGTGACAATATAGTGTCACGATTGCTGCCTATGAGCCAACCCAGGGCTCCACTGGAGCTCAGGATACTGACTCAGTCCAGAAGAGCCAGGAAGGCTTCCTGGAGGGGTGCAGTTTAAGTCAGATCTAAAAGGAGGGAAAGGTACTAACACTGGTAAGTGCTGCAGACAACATATAAAGCCATGATCCGTGTGTTTCAGCCTCCAAGCAGTGTTATGTTCAAGAAGATAATTTCTTAACTCAAACTTTTCTTGCATTTCTTAAGTTCTGGGAAGGCAGCAGGTAATACTTCTCTAAAATTCCCTGTCCCTTCCCATCCACTTTCCTACAGACCCCAGTTCCCTCACCTCATTCACATCAAACTTCCCTGGGAAACCCCACCTTGAGCTTTCAATCCCTTTCCCACTTTTCTCCTTCTGCTCTTTATTATGAAGACAAACATAGTCTCTTCCTCTGGGACCATTCCTTCTTCCTCCAGCCTCTCAGGTCCAATAATGCATCCACTTTCTGACTCTCTTTCACAAAACTCAGGGCAGAAATATCCTTGGAGAGCAGCCCAGGGTGAGGAACTGCCCCGGTACAGCCAGAGGAAAAAGGGAGGCTCAGAGTTACTCATACAGGAATGAATTTGGTATTATAACATTTATCTTTTAAACTACTATGATCAACCCATTTTGAAGATGAGAAAACTGAGGCTCAGAGAGATCAAATAACTTGCCCAAGATCCCACAGCTAGTAAATACCTGCTCCTGCCTGCCATGCTTTCCTTCTCTTATCTTCTCTTTTGCCTTCTTAACTGTGATTTCAACCCAAAGAGAGATTTCCCCAGGGAAGTCTTCTCTAGACATTTTGTCTTGGTCAAACCAACCTATTGTACACTTTCATAAGGTTGTGTACTTTTCCTTCATAGCACTTGTCACAGTTGTAATCATACATTTCTCTGGGTGATTCTTGTATTAAAGCCTCTCTCCAACACTAGACTATAACCTTGTGGAGAGAAAGGGCAATATATATATATTTATATACCCTTGTATTCCCAGCAAACAAAACAGCATCTGGGACATAATAGGTGCTCAATAAATATTTGCTGAATAAGTGAATAAGAAGCTGAAATTCAAACCCCTGTCTCTAAAACCCAAGTTCTTTGCTAACGTCATGTGTTGGTGTTCCCCAGGAGGACAAAATGGGAGGGAGGTCATTTCAGGGTGAAGAATTACCATTTGACTCGTTAGGGAAATTACAATTTGTGTGTGTGTGTGTGTGTGTGTGTGTGTGTGTGTGTGTATGTGTGTTGATAGTGGTTTGAATCCAGGCTGCATATAGAGGAGCAGCAGTAGAAGCTGGGGCACTGAGCAAGGGCACAATGATTAAAAGACTTAAAAGACCTCGCTTGCCTCAGGATCAAGGATCACAGGGAGCTACTGAGAGTTTTTCATCTGGGGAGAGGCATGACCATAGTTAGATTTGAGAAAGTTCACTCTGCCTGCCACTGAGTGGAGGGCGGACAGAACCTGGAGGCTAGGGTAGTGTCAGTACAAAACACCTTGGAGAAGGAAAAGTCCTGGACAGGGACATCAGTGGAGAGAGGGGTGGTCCAGCTCCTAGGAGATGGGGAGAGACAGGTGTAAGTGTGACTCCCCCGTTTTAGGCATAGACACCTGGACAGGTGGTCTTGTCATCTCTGGCAGCATAAAGCACTGAAGGGGGAGATGGTTTGCGGTGGGAGAGGCTGCGTAGGGCTGAGCAGGCTGGGTCTGAGAAGTTGCTTCACTTGCAGCTGTTGGACCAAGGTACAGGGGGGGCTCAGGGCGAATGGGGCAGGTGGGTCAGAGTGCAGAGAGAGACTAGGGAGGAGTTGAGAGTCCAGCCCCCATTTCTAGACCCCAACACAGGGTGGGTGTATAGGTCAGCGGGTCTCAGATAAGCCTGAGCAGCGTGCTGCCGCCTCCTCCATTTCTCGCCAGCTGCCTTCCACTGAGCTTAACACCGCAGAGAGACCCGGGGACTCACAAGCGCAGCTGTCAGCTGGGAGGGAGGTAAGATCCAGGAACACTGCCCTCCCTCTCCAGTGTCTCCCCACCGTTCTTTTTTAAGAATTTGGGCTTTGGGCCACCTATTCAAGCCTCAGATTCCTCATCTGTTAAGCATGAGATAGGAATCCATCCCTGTAAAGAGAAAGACTGAATGCACCCTGCAGGGAGAAGGCACCTGGCTGGGGCTCTTCCTCACCTGCTGGGTTCATCCAAAATTATTCTCCAAAGGAAAAGCCGTGTAAGGATTGGGGGTGGGGAATAGGCTTTCCCAAGAGGTCAGGTCAAGTCCCAATCTTAGGATGGATGTTCCGGGGGAGGCTGGGAGGAGATGTTCCCAGGAGACACCACCTCCTGGCTTCACTGAACCCTTACACCACCCGATGGAGAAGGAAGGAATCGTTTACCCCATTTTGTGGACGAGAAAACCAAGGCCCAAGGAAGTTAAGGAGGACTCTTAAGGTCACACAGCCAGTCCAGAGTGGGACTTAAGTCTATGAGAAATCCAAGGCCATCCTCTTGACCCTACAAACGCCCTTTCCCAGTCTAGAAGCCAGTGATTCTTCCCATTCCTACTCCACCTCCTTGTTCCCCAAAAGTGCCCAGGGCACCAGGGCTGGGCCAGGCACCTCTTCGGCTTCCTGGGGCGCTGGTCTGGGTCTTCAGAGGGCCGGGGTCTGGTACTAGAGCGCCTCTCAAACCTGCGGGTTTGCCCCCAAACTCGCAGCTTGAAGAGTGAGGGCGCCAAGGCATAGGTGGGGCGGGTAGGCAGGAGATTGGGGAGTGCGGTGGCGGGGGGCGGGTGCGGGAGCGCGGGCCCCGGGAGCAGCGAGGAACGGAGGAGGCCGCGCAGCAGCGCTAGCCCGGCGCCGGCCGCTCCCGGCCCCCTCCCCCTCGGTGGTGGCTCGCTCTTCGCTTATCCGGCTCCGAACCAGACGCAGCCGCCGTCGCCGGCTGGCGCACTGCCGGCTCCCGGGAACAGCCCCTCGGGCACCGGCCGCTTCCCGGCACCGGAGGGGCGCAACGCGGCCACAGACCCGGTGGCGGTCGAGGAGGCAAGAGGGGTGCCGGCGCGCCCCGGGGCCCCGGCGCAGCGCACGGTGAGCGCCCCCCGAAGCTCGGGGATCCCTTAGCCGCGGGTCCCGGGGTACCAGCGCCCGGGTACCCGATGGGGCCGCCCGGTGAACGCAGGGCAGAAGTTGGGACCGCGCGCAGCCAGCCTGTGCCGCCGAACCCGATATGCTGTCGCCGGGGCGAAACGGCACCGCCTACCGGGCGCGGTCCCGGCAGCAGAAGCTGGCGCAGGGGGCGCCGTGGGGGCCTCGGAGGGGGCGACGCTGCTGGGGCCAGCGCAAGTGGTCACGGCCGGCCTCCTGACCCTGCTTATCGTCTGGACCCTGCTGGGCAATGTGCTGGTGTGCGCGTCCATCGTGCGCAGTCGCCACCTGCGCGCCAGGATGACCTACGTCTTCATTGTGTCTCTGGCTGTGTCTGACCTCTTCGTGGCGCTGCTGGTCATGCCCTGGAAGGCGGTCGCCGAGGTGGCCGGCTACTGGCCTTTTGGGGCCTTCTGCGACATCTGGGTGGCCTTCGACATCACGTGCTCCACCGCCTCCATCCTGAACATGTGCATCATCAGCGTGGACCGCTCCTGGGCCACCTCCAGGCCCTTCTGCTACGAGTGCAAGATGACGCAGCGTGTGGCCTTGGTCATGGTCGGCCTGGCGTGGACCTTGTCCATCCTCATCTCCTTCATCCCAGTCCAGCTCCACTGGCACAGGGACAAGATGGACTCCTGGGGTGGGGTGGACCCACCATCTAACCTGGTCAACGGGACGCCCTGGGAGGAAGCCGGGGAGCCAGAGGAAGCCCTCCCCTCCCCTTCTAAATGAATAGATTGTTCAGTGACTTATTTGTGTTTGGGCTGATTTTTAAGCAATAAGGTTCAATGTGTGTGTAGCGCTGATGGAAGTGTGTGTGGCTTTCCTGTATCTTGCTTCCTGTGGCCTGTGTTTCTGCAGTTTCTCCTTGCTCTGTGTCTTTGCTACAGCTGAGGAATTCTTCCTGATTTGTTCTGGTGTCGAACAGACACAAATTATGTATTCTATGGGGTGATTATCGTTGCTTTGCCAGATTGGTTTTCAGGATGGCTCCTAGAGAAGCCATGAGAACATCCTTAAAAGCAGGAAAGATTTTGGCTGGGTCTGGAAGCACCCATTTATTTTCTTTACAGTCAGTTTGGCCTTAAAGGTACACACAGGGGCAAGAGAATTTGAAGAGTTTCTGATATCTCAGAATTTAAAAAAATTAGATACACACATCTTGAGTCTGTGCTGAAAGCTGCCTTCATGCCACAACATCAAATATGGACTTCTCAAGCCTGGAATTCCATTTTTTTTTTTCTCATTTGGAATCTTCTTTTTCTAATTACATGACATAAAACAATTCTCCTGGTTCCTAGACAGATGCTATCAGTTCATTGAAAAGATCATATAAAATAATCACCTGGTCCTTCTCGACCTCAAATCTATAATGTTTGAAAGTTACATGGCTTTTGATCTACCGTGTTTTCTGAAGGGCTTTGAAATGTGTGAGTTGATATGCTTTCAAAAGACAAAGCCAGGGCTTCCCTGGTGGCGCAGTGGTCGAGAGTCCGCCTGCCGTTGCAGGGGACACGGGTTCGTGCCCCGGCCCGGGAAGATCCCACATGCTGCGGAGCGGCTGGGCCCATGAGCCATGGCTGCTGAGCCTGCGCGTCCCGAGCCAGTGCTCCACAACGGGAGAGGCCACAACAGTGAGAGGCCCGCGTACCGCAAAAAAAAAAAAACAAAAGACAAAGCCAATTTTTAAATAGGCATTTTCATTTGTAGACAATAGGAAGTGAGGGAACGCATTTTAACTAAAATGCAGGAGCCAGAGATGATATTTGAATGAACTTGAAATTGGAAAATCGACGAAAAAGCCCAATGAATTCCAGTCTTTTTGTTTTTCTTCTGTGCAGTCGGCGCAGCAAAGGGGAGCACTTAGTTCCAGAGCCACTCCAGACCAGAGCATATTATTACCATTAGATCTAAATGTGAGCGTTGTTAATGGAAGCAAATGAAATGTGAATATATAATTTCGTACAGGTCCCTACTTTGAAGCAGGCTTCTCAAGGATGGTTCAATCAGTTTTGGTCTCTTTAGGGAGAATTTTATTGTCAGTCTCCTGAACAACCAGGTCTTACTCATTGCAAAATGCGCAGTGCCTGACACATAATGCTTAATAAACAGCTACTGAATGAATAACTGACTTTCTGGTATGGTGAGGTTGAAAGCGAATCCTATTTGATACATCAGTTTCCATATATGATTTAGTCAGATTGATATGGGAATCTGAGGTCTAGTGTTCCATTTTTACCTCTTGTGAGCTGATTGCTAAGTGGACCATTAGGGAAACATCAGGGGCAGTGAAAAGCGCCCTGCTCTGAGATTCAGGAGATAGCTGTGTGACCTCGAATGAGTCAACTCACCTCTCTGGGTCTCAGTTTCTGTCTGCCTCTGTAAATTGAAAGACTTATACTAGAGCACAGTTTTCCAAATCGTGTTTCACGATGCAAATATTAGTGGATAGGGTCTAGGGCGAAATAAGTTCGGCAAACCGAGGTACAATATCTGTTTTCTACAGGGCTTCTTAGAACTTTTCCTGTGCATCGTGACTCCCCAAGCAGGAGAGAATTCTGCATTGTTCTCCAGTGTCTTCGACCTTGTGAATACCTGTTTGGTACAATTCCTTATTACTCTCTCTTTGGAGATCACAGTTTCAGGGAACATAGTTTCAGAAACTCTAATTGATCTGAAAAATCTCTAAAATGCAACTCTTCTATTCTAAAAGACAGGTTGTTACAAGAAAAGTTTTTTGGTGGCAAACGTTGTTCTCGGCCCCAGTTCGGATAATTTCTGTGTTAGGAAACATGGGTTATGTGAGGATTTGGGGAATGCCTTCTGCACAATATCACTCATCATTCATTACAATTATTTATACCTACTACATGCTAGGCACTCTTCTAGGAATATAGTTGCCAATTAATTACTCTGAGGTCTGGGAACTTATATTTCAGTGGGAGAGAGACAGCAAACAAACACTATGATACTGTGCTGTACCACAGTGTATTATGCCATCCAGACTCTGAAATGTCATGTCAGGCAGCGATGCTGATGTGACGCAAAATAAAACAGAGGGAGTGGAGTGATGTGGCTGCCATTTGATTTAGGGAAGTCAAGCAAGAGGCATGAAGAAGAGAGACACAGATGGAGAAGGAAGGCTCAGGGCGACACCAGTGTCCAGGGGGAGGAGTGCTCTGGGCAGAGGGAGTGGCCAGTGCAGAGGCCTGGACACGGGAGTGTGTGGGGCGCGCTGGGAGAGAGAAGGGTGGCCGGTGTGGGTACAGGGCTGTGGAGGGTTAATGCTAACAGCAAAGGCAGGCACTGTAGAGACTCATTCTGTGCCCGGGCTGCGCATGTACGGATTCATTTAATCCTTGCAACCCTGCAAGGCAGGCACTTTTGTTACCCCCATTTTACAGATGGGGGAGTGAAGGCACTGGGAAGCTAAGTAACTAGCCCTGGGTCACATAGCTCGTGAGTGGCCAAGCTGGACTTGAACCGGAGAGCCTGCCCATTGCGTCTTCCTTATCTGCCCTGAGGTGGTGAGAGGGGCTGCTGAGGCATGGCACTCAGCAAACGCACTGATGCCTGTATCAGAATACTCCTCGCTCATCTGTTCATTAGCTGGTTAACTGACGCATTCCTATATGCTTGTGTAAGCTGATGTTCATTGTGTCCCTGCCCTGGTGCTCCTTTGTGTTTGGAGGGGAGGCAGCAGTGAAAAAAGGAGCCCATATTTTGGCCAGGTACTTTCCTAATCCCTATTTGATCCTCACATTAACCACATGTACTACTATTTTTCCATTTTACGGATGCAAACACTGAGGCACAGAGAGGTTAAGTTGGTTTTCCAAGGTTAGATGACTAGTAAGTGGTGGAACCAGGGTTTTTACCTAGGCCTGTGGTTCTCAATGGAGACAATTTTCTCTCCCAGGGGACATTTGGCCGTGTCTGGAGACATTTTTTGGTTGCCACAATTGAGTGTGAGGTGCTCCCGCTGAGGAGATAGATGGGCCCCAGGCTGAGCAGCTGGAGTCGGTCCCCTGTGGACAGATACTCCAAGATGAAGATAATAGCTGGAGCAAGAGGTGCTGAGCCCTGCCCAGATAAGAGATAAAGAGACCACGGATTTCTCATTCTCGAGGTCAAGGAGACCCTCAAGGCTACACATGCACAGAAAGGCTCCTCGGGGGCCAAAATGTGGGGGTGTCATCCCATAGTAGGTGATGTCAACTTAACCATAGGCCTCTTCACTAGAATCCACCTTGGCTAAGAGACGTGCGTGCACATGGGGAGGACCCTGAGTTATACCAAATACAGACTCAGAGCCAGGCAAAGCAAGATGACCAGGCCGAGGAAACCTGGAAGAAATGCCCCATAGAAGTGATTCAAATTACCACAAGGGCGAGACACTGAGCCTGACTGTGTGTCTACTCACACGTATCCTTTTTCCTCCTAATAAACACTTTACTTGTTTCACTGCTTTCTGTCTCTTTGTGGAAATTAATTTCTACAGAGCCGACAGGCCAGAGCCTTGTCACTGGCCACTGGTCTAGTGGCTGGGATTCAGCGCTCTCGCTGCCGCAGCCTGACTTCAATTTCTGGCCGGGAACTGAAATCATGTTTCAAGCCACCGCAGGCTGAGGCCACCTGAGATCACTGCCATCTAAGGGCTGAGGTCAAGGATGCTGCTAAACTTCCTACGGTGCGCAGGACAGCCTCCCACCACAAAGGATTATTTGGCCCTGAGAGGCCCTAACTCCACATCCCAGCTGCCTGTCGCAAAGCCACACTACCTAGGCTTTGAAGCGCCACAGCCTTGAGTTCAGCTTTTAGCTTCCCCTTTCTTAATTGTCTGAATTTGAGCACCTCTCCTAGCTTCAGTTTCTTTGCCTGAGAAATGGGTAACTTAACCCCAACGTTCTGGGTGAGGATTAAATGAGTTCGTGTAACACTGAGATTATTTTCGTGTCGTTCTTTTTCCTTTCCTTATCTCCTTTTTTTTTTTGCGGTATGCGGGCCTCTCACTGCTGTGGCCTCTCCCGTTGTGGAGCACAGGCTCCGGATGCGCAACTCAGCGGTCATGGATCACGGGCCCAGCCGCTCCGCGGCATGTGGGATCTTCCCGGACCAGGACACGAACCCGTGTCCCCTGCATCAGCAGGCGGACTCTCAACCACTGCGCCACCAAGGAAGCCCCCTTTTCTCCTTTTTAAAAGAACTCTGCGGTTTGATAAATTTTAAGAAGACTTTGAGGTTTCTAGCTTAGGTAGAACTACATCGTCCTGAAAGCCAACAGCGACGAGAGCTGAGACTCCTCTGGTCTTGTTCCCACAAGGCTTGGTCTCCTTCTCAGCCTAGACCAGTGTTGGGCACGAAGTAGGTGTTCAATAAATGTCGATGTCTCTCCCGACCTTGGTCTCCTACACACACACACACACACACGCACACACATGCCAGGCTCAGGTGATGCCACTGAGCAACTAGGTGTTTACACAGCGAGTCCAGGGGTGGTGTTTTCTGTCGGGGGTGGTGGCGGTCCTCACATTTAGGGCTGATCAAGGGCCTGCAGGGCTGAAAGCCCCACAAGAAGTGTTTTCATCATGCAACACACTTGAATGCTCTTTGTAACTAGCAAAGTGCCTTCAGAGGTTTACCTTGACAATACCCCCGTGAGGTCCTTCCAGCCTGCCCATTAAAGAGATGAGGCAGTTGAACTGGGGAGGGGTCCAGAGACTCACCCGCGATCACCCAGCCAGAGGGACCCACGCTGAATTTGAAGGTGGCCTTAATCCCTGCGCTCTGTCCACCCACTGCACGGAAGGAGCATGTGACAACAGGCAGGCGAGCAGTGAGCACTTCCTTAAACTTTGCATCTCACTCTCCTTACCCCATTCCTGTCTCTGGGTAATGGCAGGAACGCTCTGTCCCCCACTTTGGGGAAGTTTCATGGCCTGGTTGGTGAGACAGGACATGGCAACCTATGGAATAGCAGGGGCACCTCGGGCATTGCCCTCTCTAGGGGGTCTCCCACATGGTCTGTCTAGCATGACAAACAATGCCAAAACTTGGCAGTTTGAAGCAATGATCATTTATTTCTGGTGATTCTGTGAATTGGTTGGGTGGTTCTCCTGCTATTTTTTCTGGGACTCACTCATACAGCCAC